TGCCCGAGTTATGGAATGTCATGATCCATCCATCTGGCAAAGGCTCTGTAGGAGGGCGGCCACGACCTTTAAAGCAAAGAATGGCTTTAAACTTGGATACACTGCTTACAAGAACAGAAGAAGAATCAAGGTTTTTATTTTTATTGGCTTTTTGTGTTTCGAAGGATAAAATGACACTGAAACAAGAATAAAAAAGTTTTACAGAAAGATTTTGTTTTGCTTTAATAAAAAGGTATATGCTTCTAACCCACATTAAATCCTGCAAAATTACAGATTCCATTATGTTTTCAACTGAAAAGCAACAGTAGCACTAATTTTTATACCGATTGATTTGTTCATTTCACCAGTGAATCTTTTCTTCTCTTTAGTATTCTTTATGTACTAAATTATACCATCACAAGCACCACTATATTTAGTGGAGAAGTTGTACTGGCTTTTGAAACAACTGAGCTTCTCATTAAAATTTTTTACACGTGACACTCGGGGATAAATTTGCACTGAGACATCATCAGACTTGCAGCCAGCAGCGAGTTAGGCTGTAAGCTAAGGCTTTCCTATTGTACTTTTCAGTACAAGCACAGTACAAACCCAAATCACATCTACAGGGCTTTATATTCAAATATCTCACCCATCAAGAATACTACTTCCACAAAGTAAGCCTGAAATTGCAGTACAATAAACGAATATGAGAAATCACATAGCAAAAGCAGCAATATTCTGTGAGCTTCTGGGCCTGCTCAGAATGAAAAGGGAAATGTCCAGAGATGGAAAAGTGGAACATCACCTGTTGAAAATTACAAAGGCATTGCCAGGGCATGCAGGGATGCAGTTAGCAAAGCAGAAGTTCAGCTTGAACTGAAACTGGCCAGAGTTGTCAGAAACTTCAAGAAAGGATTCTTCAGGTATATTGACAGCAAGCAGAAACAGGAAGAGAATATTGGCCCAGTATTGAACAGGAGAGGTGAACTAGTCACCAACAATGCTGAAAAGGCAGAGGCCCTCAACATCTTCTTCACCTCTGTCTTTACCAGCACTGCTGGGTCCCAGGCCATGGAAACAACTATCCATACTGAAGCAGATGCAGATCCGCCAACAGTGAAGGAAGAGCTGATGTGTCAACTACTACAGGAGCTTGACCTGTATAAATCAATGGGCCCAGATGCCATCCACCCAAGGGTGCTAAGAGAGCTGGCTGATGTTGTTGCGAGGTCACTCTCCATAATCTTTGAGAAGTCACGGAGATCAGGAGACGTGCCCAAAGACTGGAAGGCGGCCAATGTGATCCCTATACACAAGAAGGACCCAGGTAATTACAGGCCCATTAGCCTCATTATGGAGCAAATCCTCCCTAGTAATATCACCAGTAAACTGGGACACATGATTGGGAAAAGCCAACATGGATTCACCAGGGGCAGATCATGTTTAACAGATCTGATTGCTTTCTATGATGGAGTGACCTGTTTGGTTGATGCAGAGCAAGCGGTGGACATTGTCTACTTGGACTTCTCCAAAGCTTTTGACATGGTCCCCTACAGCCTCCTCCTTGAAAAACTGACAAACTACAATGTAGATAAGTGGTCTGTGTAGTGGGTAGGGGAACTGGCTGATGGGCTGTACCCAGAGGGTGGTAGTAAATGGTTCGCTCTATAACTGGTAACCAATCACAAGTGGGGTCCCTCAGGGATCAATATTGCACTAGACGCTATTTAATCACTTCATCAGTGATATGGATGTTGGGGTCGGGAGCTCCCTGATGAAGTTTGCTGACGACACCAAAATGAGTGGGGTAGTTGACACTTCAGAAGGGAGAGTAACCCTCCAGGAAGACCTGGACAGACTAGAGTTCAACACGGACAAATGTAAGGTCTTGCATCTGGGAATCCATAATCCAAGAACGCAGCTGAGACTGGGTTCTGCCTGGCTGGAGAGCAGCCCTGGGGAAAGGGACCTGGGGTCTTGGTGGATGTGGAGCTCAACATGAGCAAACAGTGTGCTGCAGCTGTAAAGAAACCAACAGGATGCTGGGTTGCATTAAAAAGGGCATCACCAGCAGAGACAAAGAAGTCATTATCCCTCTCTACTCGGCACTGGTCAGACCACACCTTGCGTACTGTGTCCAATTTTGGACCCCACTATACAAAAAAGATGCGGACAGGTTGAAAAGGGTCCCAAGAAGGGCCATGAGGATGATCAGAGGACTGGAAGACCTGCCATATGCAGAAAGGCTGAGAAAACTGGCCCAGTTCAGCCTTGGGAAGAGAAGGCTTAGGGGGGACCTTATCACCATGTACCAGTACATAAAGGGTGGCCACCAAGCAGATGGAGACTACCTTTTCACAAGGAGCCACATGGAAAAGACAAGGGGTAATGGACACAAGTTGCTTCCAGAGAGATTCCGACTGAACTCCAGAAGAAATTTTTTTACCATGAGATCAATCAGACATTGGAAAAACCTCCCAGGGGAAGTGGTAAATTCCCCCACACTGGTCAGCTTTAAAAGTCAGCTTGACAGGGTGCTGACTCAACTCATTTAAACTACACTTTTACCTTGAGAGGTTGGACTGGATGATCCTTGTGGTCCCTTCCAACCTGGTATTCTATGGCAATATTGCAGCAAAATGCTTATGCTCACACTCAAGTTAATAATTTCTATTTCTATTCCAGAAATCCCAGAATGGTCTCATTCCTCTCTACATCAGAAATCAGAGACCAGACTCATCTTAGCTGGGACACTTCCTGGCAATCCTGTGTAAGTAAAAAATTCGGTAGCGAAAAACTGTATGTTTTTTTTTTATTTCAGAATATAGTGAAGTTGTAAAATACTCCTCTAGAGCATGTTCAAACTTTAATCCTAAACCAGACTGTTTTCAGTTACATACTGTTATTGAGGCCATGCTGCTGAGCTGCGCTGGCCAGGACACGTCTCCAGGATGGAGGATCACCGCCTCCCTAAGATCCTGCTCTATGGTGAACTCGCCACCAGCCACCGCAACAGAGGAGGCCCAAAGAGGAGATACAAGGACTCCCTGAAACAATACCTCAGTTTTGGCCATATTGACTGCCATCAGTGGTCCACCCTGGCCTCCAGTTGGGGGACACGGAGACATGACACTGCTGTCTCCTTTGAGAACGCACGAAGAATCAGTCTCGAGGAGCAAAGACAACACAGAAAGAACTGCGCCTTGCCAACACCGCCTAAGGAGACTTTCTGCTGTGCCCTTTGCAACTCTGGACTTTTTGCCTAGTTGCAACTAGGCAACTTTGGACTTGCCTATCCCACATCGGCCTTTTTAGCCGTCAGCGCGCTTGCAGCAAGCATGGGCAGTGTCCTTCTCTTACCCTTGTTCGTGAAGCCTAGCCATGATGATGATGACTACTGGTTCACATTCTATGCTCTTCTTTATTAGTCATTTGTAACATTTACATAACGAAACATGGTAAATGTAAGCCACTGACCTTCCTAATGATTTTTTTTAGCTAGTATTATATGCATAAAATCTTCACATAGAGCAATTGTGACAACAGAAATCATGTAACTAAAGTAGGAAGAAGTCCACATTGTCCAGAAACACTCTTCAGCTGTTTCACAGTACTGGAGACAAGAAAACAATCAGCCTTCTTCACCTTCCCACCACTGAAGTAACATTCTTCAAAGTTTTTCACAAATCCACGCGCTAAAATACATTATCATTACATACAACAGATAAAGATCAAAAGCACTCCTAAAAATCAACTTAACTGTTATGCAATGTGAAAAATCGTATCCTATAGTAAGTAACCTTTAAACAATAAAATTCTGTAACATATTAACTATTTCACAAGAACTGCTATCCTAAACTTTGCTTGCTGATACACTTCTGTTCTACAGACATCAGCCACACAGAACAGTTACCAACATTTAATGAACATGAACTTACTTTTAAGTACAGTTTTAATTTTGGTCATCATTGGCTGCACGCTTGTTTCTCCATCAGACTGGTGATCGCTTTCACCACCATATTTCTCATTTTCCAGTCTCCTTGTTTTGGGTGCTCGAAGACCCTCTTCCAGCAGAGCATCCACATCATTATCAAAGTCATCCTGAAAGAGACTTCATCAGACACTACCATTCTGGGTCTATGAACCTCCCTTTCCCCTTGTGAAGGAAAAGTATACATTTCCTCTATGTACTTCCATACAGAAAGAAACTAGGATTTTCCAGTCATCCCAGTAAAAAGACTGAAAAGTAAGAAAATAAGTTTTCATAGGTAAGAACTGGTATTTTTTCACGATAAAATGTGCTGCAACTGTGTAAGAAGCCTTTTAAATGTTAATTTTAAACAAGACTACAGAAGCTGCCACACAACTCACAAGTCTGAACAAGATAATTTACAAAGTTTTTGTAAAAAACAGTGTTCGGTCTCTGAAAATTCTGCATTTTTGACTCGAGTACTGCACATTTCTAAAAGAGACTGTTTCAGTTAACATCTCTGCATTTTTTTCTAGCAACCTGGAAACCTTTTACCCACCAAAAACCTGTGGATTTACTTACCTCATACGAGTAATTCAAGGTTTCTTCATCCACTTTATCTCTTTGAACGATTGCTTTAGATGTGAACCCTCCTCCTTCTTCATCTATTTCCATCAAATTGTCGGTAAAATCTTCTAGCTCATCCAAAACTGCGTACTCCACTCTCTTTTCCTGATCAATATCATTTTCATCATCCTTCTTGTCATCATTTTCACCCCCTATTCCTACAGGTTTACCATTACTACCACCAAAAGGACAAACATGCAAATCCCCATTGACATTATTAATACCAAGATCTGTATCTGCCTTATAATCCTGCTCAACTCCAGTGTACAGAACTTTCCTATCTTTGCTTTTGCAGCTTTCTGTAAAGCTAACACTAATCTTTACATCTTTAAGTAACTTAAGATCTGGGGTGAACTTTCGAACTGAAGGTGCATGACGAGCAGTTCTTGGGCTTTGGTCACTACTGTTAGGGTCTATTATAAGACGACTTTTGTAGCAGGCAGATCCCTTTGTGAGCAGCTGTGTTCTGCAGATACTGTGCGTGTCCCCAGCAGGGGTATCTGACTGTCCATCACCACCAGAGCCAACGTCCATTACCTCTGCGTCACTGGACGTTTGCAGGGGAGGTGGTGGAGGCTGTTCATTAGGCGGCAGAGGTGGGGGACAAGTATGATTCTCCACATTCATTTCTCTTGCAGGTTCTTTAGGGAGGGGTGGTACATTTTCATATTTCTCCATTTTTAAAACTACTGTTTTTAAAAGACAATGCTTTAATAAATGTTTATATCTATATTCCTAACATGCGTAAGTCCATCAAGATTGGTTTATCATGTTCTATTCAATATGCAACACTGATGATTCAGTTAAGCTGACTACATTGTTCTTTTCATTAATGTAGACAGCTTTCAGAATCACTGTCTCAATTATTGGAAATCACAATGCATTCAGCTTAAATAGCTGAGGACTAAGACTGCATCTTCATTGGACAAGCAGGTCTCCCTTTCTTCTTTCAACCTAGAACAAGAAGAAAGAAAGAAAGAAAGAAAAGAAAGAAAGAAAAAAGATCTTTGTTACAAAAAAAAAAAAAAGCAAAACAGAAATGGTACCCCAAGCAAAAAGAAAAACTGTCACTCCTCCTGGCATAAGTTTCAAGTAGACATAAGAGTGACAGTCTTACAGTGGAAAAAGCAGTGTATCTTGATACCATTTTGAATGAGACTGATAGATTGTTTGTACTGCTTCATCTGTACACCAGCACAAGAATTTGCTAACATACAGTTAATAATTTGTTGACTGTCTCTGCTCTGTTATCAGGCAGGGCATTAAGCACCACATTTGCAGGGACCAGACTAAAAATTGTGCATTTAGTGGGGGGGATTCTCCCTTTATTTAAAATAACCTGGTATTTGAGCCATACTTACCCACACAGCAGAAAGGATAATTAGCTGACAGTCAAAGACAATTTGCAAAACCATTAAGATTTTAACTATGGTCTTATAAGACACACAGCTTTTTGAAAGTTTACGTTCTTGGATATTTTTGAAATATCACTGGAAATTTTAACAGGAAATCTCACAATTTGTTCAAAACTCACACAAAATTACTCTCTCGATAACCAGACACTAGACATTTGATCTTATATTTCATACTATTATGGGACTATATATTTGTTATGTCTGAGGAATTCACGTCTAGATACATGGTGTTAAAGCTCAAATGAATTCTGGAAGGCATTTAGTAGCCAATATTTTAGTTAACCAGGCAAAAAAATTCAATTGCTCTAGGAAATTCTACAGGGGAATGGGGGTGGTGTTTTGGGTATGGTTGGTTGGTTGGTTTTTACATTAAGTGGGTTCTTTCTACAATGTCTATGATGGCTCCCTCAATTATACTTTAGTAATCTGTGCAGGACTATAAGCACTTAAGGAAAGGACGCATAATTTCTTACCTGTAATTTTGATTTCTCCAAGTCCCTCTGAACCACCCCAAACTGGGCTTAAATCTTCCTACCAGCTAGAATTAAAGCAGTGTTACTCTGCCCAAGACAGCCAGCTGGCTGAATCCTCTCTGTTCAAAGTATTTTCAGGTAGCAGAGAAAGCCTACCCAGGTATTCTAGAAAGACAAGCTCCAAGTCCTTAGAATCACTGTGTAATGTTTGAAGACAGCAGGACAGAACGTCTGGGTTGTCATGAGGGACTTAAAGAAACCAAATATAATTCTCTAATGTATCTGTACGCCAGCCCAGACAGAACAAACCAACAGCAATATCCAAACACCAACTGGGGCAAGGCAGAAAGCTGGGAATTGGGAGTTACAATGGGATCAATTAGAATTCAACAACATACAGAAGCTACCTACCTGGAAGCTGGAAGAAAGCAAAATATATAAACAGAGTAAACTCTTATTTTAGTGATTTGGCAATGAAATAAGTTTTGCTGAGGCAGTAGGATAGTGCATATTTTGCGATAGGGGTTTTTTTTTGGTTTGTTTTGTGGTTTGTTTGGGGTTTTTTATAAATATACTCAAAACTAGACACATTCAAGAAGCTGAGCTTGACATGCATTGTAGAATTACAAAGGAAAAAATACTCCCCATTGATAAAAGGTCTAAAATAATCCCATCTTCTCTGATACAAACATATTACCTTCCAGAATGAAAACCAGCTCATTCACCAGTAAGACAAGCAGTTCTATGTATTTAAATCCATTCCATCCTATAAGATGATCAAAGCAGTAATCAGTTCCTTCTTCTTTCAATAGGTTCTGAAATATCCAATGTTACACAGAACACCTCTAGAAATACATTTGTCTAATAACCTTCCTCCTTCCTCATCTTCAAATTAAGAAAAAAAAAGCTGAATGATAAATTAATAAGTTCTTAATGATAAATCTTCATTGTTAATTCTGAACAAAAGCATCAAAAGTCCCAGTACAAGTTAGAAACTAAATGCCTAAGTAATCTAATTTTTCCACCTTTAAAAAACTCTTTAAAAGAGTAAACATAAATAATTCACACAGGATTTAAATAATGAAATGGGTATTCTAGATTTTGACAGAGCACCACCCTACCATATGATCAAGCAGCTACCTGGTCCAACTAGAAAGACTGTTTCTGACAAGTCACAAGACAATATCAAAACACAAGAAATTAGTCTTTACCATCTTTACCTCCAGCTTTGGCAGCTTGCTGATACTACACCTCCACTCTTTTCTAAAAAGATGCCTTGTTATTGTATTCAAGCACTATTAACAATGAAATTCTTGTTGGCCTTGAAATAATGAATAGCACACCAAATCACTGCCAGGGATCGTCGTCTACTCAGTACACATCCTGTGGCCAGAAAAAAACACTAGACCAAGATGAGTTTAAACTAGCTTGTGCATTTCTAGCCATAAACCACGTCCCTAGGGTAAAATAACAGAGCCTGGCAGCACTACAGTTTGTGGGCTACAATACTTTCCTATAAGCTACAAGAAGCCAGGGAAAAGTAGAGTAACACAGGTCCAATTCCCATCTACTTTCTTGCCAACTGATGTTACAATACACTTTTATATCAGGGGCTGGGGAAAAAAAAACCCAAAACAATAAACCAAACAAACACCACAACAAAACCAATAAGGATTTTCTCTTAGATATCAGGTACTTTGAAAGACAGAAGAGATGAAACCTGAAAGGATGAGTTAGATAAGCCTATAGGTTAAAAACTGACGACCTTAGAACAAAGGAACCCAACAATCATGTATAAAAACAGACTTCGCATACTAGGTTATGTAATATTAGAATGCAACGTAAGTTCGTCTGCCTACTGTCATCCTTAATTAACTTGCCCTCAAAGAACAGATTTTATTCTCCAGGGCTCCACCAATTTCCATTGACAGTTTCCATAAGGACTCCTTAAAAATAAATGGAACACCACTGACAGCTGCAACAGCCAGAACAAAACAGCAAAGGAACTGTGGATGAACCGCTGGAAATGCTAACGCACAGCTCATGTTCTGCAAACACCAATACATGGAAATTTCACATTTAATTGCTTGCTCTTATTTTGACAAAGTTGCATGTCACAAAGTAAACTCAAAAGAAACAGATAAGTTGTGGACATCTAAATGTAACGCAGTAAACTGCAAAGGTCCCAACAAAAGCACTGTCTTGGCTTGGTTGTCTTATAGATGTTCTTTGAAGGCAGAAAGAAGAAAAACCAAACAAACCACCACTTACTTGCTCAGTAAGTACCACTGCCTATTCCTGCAACCAGAACAGATAGATCGGGGCGGGGGGAGAGAGGGGGAAGGACACAGACAAACGAGTATCTCTTTTCAAGACAGGATAAAAACAGAATCTTAAAATTTGTAACCAGCTCCGTACAAACTCCCAGAGGAACTCCCTTCACGGCACAGCATGTCGGCAGTATTACAAGTGAATTCCATAAAGAACATACTTTCTTCATTAATACCTGTAGCTGCAATCACGAAAAAGGAACAACATATCTCAGATTCTCTCTTTACAATAATCTCTTCTAAAAAGTAACCCAATTCCTTGTCAGAAACTGCTTATTTCACTTTCAGTGGACCCCAAAAAGAAAAGTGGCTCAGAGTAAACTCTCCTTACTTGCTATCCAAACACAAACTGTTCCTCATCCTCCAGCTCCAAATGGCAATTCTGCAGAGCAGAATTTATGAGGCACCAATCATGCTTAAAGATCTGCTCAGCTTTAACCCTTATCAAAGTAATTACCTGCTCACAATCACCTACCTTCTTTTATTGTATCTATTCCTATTGTATCTTTTTGACACATACAGTGCTAAAAATAAGTTAATCCTATTATTTTTCAACTGCTAAAAAAACCCCCCACAACACGGAGACTGAATTTATTCTGTTTAAACCAGAACAAGAAGTCTCAAAAGAAAAGTATTCTGTTATTTAACTACTATATACAGGAACTTGTTTCTCTCCCCATTTTCTCTTCAGAATAGAAAGTCTCTGAAGGAAACAACCACTTCGTGTAAGTCATCAAGGCAGTCAGGGCCCAACCATAACATTATCAGTGGCCAATACAGACAAGGCTAAAGAACTTCTCCAGTTCATAAGACTTCATCTCATTTCAGAATGGGCACAGTACCTAATTTTGGAAAGGCACTCTCAGAAATGGCAAAGCAATTGCTGCTTTTATAGCTTGACCAGCTTTCCGGCAGGGTTTAGATACCTTCAATTAATTGTGTAAAACAGGAAACAGTTGGTTTTTTAAAAAAAAGTCTGCAAATAAGAGCCTAGGAAGAAGATATTCTTACTTTCACATCACAAATAGCTTCTTACTTGTAAAGAAAGACAACAGACTTAAGGAACCAAACTGCCCTCTCAATCTCTAAAAAAGCTAAATAATCCTGGTATTTAAAAGGAGCTGCTCAAAAACACTAGTGGTCAAACTCCTCATCCAGAATTAAAAACAGGAACCCTTATGTTACATTACCTAAACAGAAGGAAGAAGAGATATGCTCATAAAAGCAAAATTAAAGATTTAACTCAACACCTCTAACTCACAACCTAAGAAAGTAACAAAAATTATATGCTTTCACCCAGCCAGCCCTCAATCCCCGTTTATGAGGAAGTGATGCCTTGATGTTAGGGCACCCAACCTCTCAGCAGGCAAACAGTCTTTATACTCAGATCTGAAGCCTAAAGAGATGCAAAAGAAACTTTTATGTTTCCAGCCAAAAAAGGTTAAGAAAGTTAGGAAAAT